GCTCGTCCACCTCTTCCTTTTCATAGGGTCTGAAGAGGCTGTCTTGCCTATGAGACTTCTAATTTCCAGAACATAAACCCGTTCACAGGGTGAGTGGAAAAAACTCAGTTTGGAGTGTGCTGGCCACTTAATGAATGTGACGTGTTGCGTGTCATCATCCTCATTTCTGGTTTCTTGAACAAATCCAGATTCATATTGTCATGTTCATTTGTCTTTTCCCCTTTGGAGAGTCTGAAGAGGCTCTTCTGCCTGGGAAGGCTATGATACTGTTCCTCGTTAGAACTAAAAACCCCTTCACAGGGTGAGAGAAACGCTTACATTCAGGTTCATCTGTGTCTTCTTTTTTTTGAAAAGTCTGAAGAGGGTTGTTTTGCTTGGGAAAGCTCTGAGACTGCTCATTGCCAGACTAGATAATCCTTTCATAGGATTTTGCCTGCTACTTAAAGCAGCTACCCCCCCCCCCCCCCAATAATTTAATGAAGTAGAAAATAGCTTGCTTAGTAACAGACCCTAAAGGGGTAACCACTGCTAGAGGGATGCCGATGCTTCAACTTCCAACCACAGCCCTGATGTCACCAGGTGGTTAACCCCTTGATGCCGACTTAACACCAATTTGCGGCCTCACAGAACTGGGCTTTCTTCCGTGGGCCGCATATTTGCGTACCTGTCTTTGTGCTGGGAGCACGACGCACGAAGCACGACGCGCTCCCAGCACAAAGACCGCGGTGTCACTGAGAGCCCCAGGTCCCGTTCTAGCGATCGGGACTCGGGACTCCCGCTTCCGGGTCACATAATCGCTGTGATAGCCTCTGAATGGCTATCACAGTGATAAGTCAGTGTGCAGCCCCGCCCCCTTGTTTTTTTCTCTCTCTGTGAATGGAGGAGAGAGATACATTGTATCATTATATACATCCTATTATACATTGTATCATTATATACATCCTATTATACATTATCATTATATACATTCCATTATACATTGTATTGTATCATTATATACATCCTATTATACATTATCATTATATACATTCCATTATACATTGTATCATTATATACATTCCATTATACATTGTATCATTATATACATTCTATTATACATTGTATCATTATATACATCCATTATACATTGTATCATTATATACATTCCATTATACATTGTATCATTATATACATCCCTATTATACATTGTATCATTATATACATCCATATATACATTGTATCATTATATACATTCCATTATACATTGTATCATTATATGCATTCTATTATACATTGTATCATTATATACATTCTATTTTCCATTTTACATCCCATTATACATTGTATCATTATCATTATACATATACATTCCATATTATACATTGTATCATTATATACATCCTATTATACATTGTATCATTATATACATCCTATTATACATTGTATCATTATATACATCCCATTATACATTGTATCATTATATACATCCTATTATACATTGTATCTCTTTAACTCCTGGCATTTGAGATTATAAAAAAAAAGTTTAAAATAAATAAATATTTAAAAAAATAAAAATAAAAGAAAAAAATAAAGAAAAAATACCTAGATCAAGGTTTGATCTAGTTTCAGTGCCAGGGTTAGTCTTTGGGTCAAGGTCAGGGTCAAAGGGCAAGGTAAAAAGGTCAGGGTCAAAGGTCAGGATTTAAAAGAAAAAATTGGTGTCAGTGTGTTTTAGGTAAAAAAAAAGACAAAAACAAAATGCGCACTATTGTTTCTGGGCTGTACTCCGGGTACAAACAACAAATAACATACACATATATGGTATCGCTGCGATCGTCAAGTGCTGGAGAATTTATTTTGGGTTGTTCTTTGGTGGTAGGTTATGGTAGGAACAAGAAACACACAACTAAATAAAAAATATATATTTTTTTTTACTATTTTGGGCCAGTTTTTGTTTAGCGATAAAAAAAAAATCAGGAGATATCCATTACCATTTACCACCAAATGAAAGCCCAATTTGTCCTGAAAAAAACGCGGTATAATCCACCTGGATGTACAAAGTAGTTGTGATGATATGGACGGTTTTATTACCACATGTCAAAGTTGCAAAATTGTGCTTAGGCATTTAGATTTGTTTTTACCCTTAGGCGTGAAGGATTCATGAACCAAATTCTTGCCCTGCCAGAGACCAGGACATGATGAAAAGGTTTTTGTTAGGTCTCCCTTCACACGGGTGTTCATATGTCCGTTTTTTCATCTGTCCATTTCTGGATGAAAAACAGACACCCATGTATTTCTATGGGCTGGCAAATGTAAATGGATGATCATCTGTTTACATCTGTTAATGTCCGCATCCGTTAACATCTGTTTTTTTTTGAACGGAAGAAACCCCTATTTTTCTTCCATTAAAAAAACCCGGAACGGATGAAAAGCGGATGTAAATGGACAAAAACGGATGTAAACAGATGTAAGCAGACAAAACATGGATGGAAAATGGATGTAAACGGATGATAAGCTGAAAAAAATGGATGTAAACAGACAAAAATGGAAGAATAACTGATATAAACTGATGAAAAACTGATATGAAGTGATCATTTTTTTTTCCTTGGATAAAACATGACTGAACTGGTGATAAAAACACAGAAGGCCCGTGTGAAAGGGGCCTTAAGAAAAGCAACAAAAAGGAAGGAATCTGCATCAGAGTTACAAAAATATTCTGCAATGTGTACAAACCATCCAAAGGATTTATTCACATCATAAAGACCTTCTCTTTTTTTTTTTTTGGAGAAATTGGAGACCACAAAAAATACCACTTTAGTGCCGCCCCATAACAGAAGTACTGCTACAGGGCTGCAGCTGTGTGCGCAAAATCACACATATAAAATATATATTATATATACAGTGGGGATCGAAAGTTTGGGCCAACCCAGCTAAAAATTTGTATTAATGTGCATAAAGAAGCCAAGGAAAGATGGAAAAATCTCCAAAAGGCATCAAATTACAGATTAGACATTCTTATAATATGTCAACAAAAGTTAGATTTATTTCCATCCTTTTACACTTTCAAAATAACAGAAAACAAAAAAATGGCGTCTGCAAAAGTTTGGGCACCCTGCAGAATTTATAGCATGCACTGCCCCCCTTTGCCAAGCTGAGACCTGCCAGTATCATGGATTGTTCTCAATCATCGTCTGGGAAGACCAGGTGATGTCAATCGCAAAGGTTTTAATTGCCCAGACTCATCTGACCTTGCCCCAACAATCAGCACCATGGGTTCTTCTAAGCAGTTGTCTAGAAAAAACTGAAACTGAAAATAGTTAACGCTCACAAAGGTCCTAAACACACCTCGAAATCCACAGGGGATTACATCAAGAGGCGTAAACTGAAGGTTTTGCCATGGCCTTCACAATCTCCTGACCTCAACATAATTGAAAATCTATGGATAGACCTTAAAAGAGCAGTGCGTGACAGACAGCCCAGAAATCTCAAAGAACTGGAAGACTTTTGTAAGGAAGAATGGGCAAAGATACCTCAAACAAAAGTTTGGGCACCCTGCAGAATTTATAGCATGCACTGCCCCCTTTGCCAAGCTGAGACCTGCCAGTATCATGGATTGTTCTCAATCATTCGTCTGGGAAGACCAGGTGATGTCAATCTCAAAGGTTTTAAATGCCCAGACTCATCTGACCTTGCCCCAACAATCAGCACACCATGGGTTTCTTCTAAGCAGTTGTCTAGAAAACTGAAACTGAAAATAGTTGAACGCTCACAAAGCTGGAGAAGGCTATAAGAAGATAGCAAAGCGTTTTCAGATGTCAATATCCTCTGTTCGGAATGTAATTAAGAAATGGCAGTCATCAGGAACAGTGGAAGTTAAAGCAAGATCTGGAAGACCAAGAAAAATATCAGACAGAACAGCTCGCAGGATTGTGAGAAAAAACAATTCAAAACCCACGTTTGACTGCACGATCCCTCCAGAAAGATCTGGCAGACACTGGAGTTGTGGTACAATATTCCACTATAAAGAGATACTTGTACAAATATGGTCTTCATGGAAGAGTCATCAGAAGAAAACCTCTTCTACGTCCTCACCACAAAAATCATCGTTTGATACTTTGCAAATGAACATATAGACAAGCCTGATGCATTTTGGAAACAAGTTCTGTGGACCGATGAGGTTAGAATGAACTTTTTGGCCGGAATGAGCAAAGGTACGTTTGGAGAAGGGGCACAGAAATTAATGAAAAGAACCTCTGTCCAACTGTTAAGCATGGGGTTGGATCAATCATGCTTTGGGTTGTGTTGCAGCCAGTGGCACAGGGAAATCTCACGAGTAGAAAGAAAAATGGATTCAATAAAATTTCAGCAAATTTTGGATGGTAACTTGATGCCATCTGTGAAAAAGTTGAAGTTAAAGAGAGGATGGCTTCTACAAATGGATAATGATCCCTCCTAAACACACCTCGAAATCCACGGGGGATTACATCAAGAGGCGTAAACTGAAGGTTTTGCCACGGCCTTCACAATCTCCTGACCTCAACATAATTGAAAATCTATGGATAGACCTTAAAAGAGCAGTGCGTGACAGAGACAGCCCAGAAATCTCAAAGAACTGGAAGACTTTTGTAAGGAAGAATGGGCAAAGATACCTCAAACAAGAATTGAAAGACTCTTGGCTGGCTACAAAAAGCGTTTACAAGCTGTGATACTTGCCAAAGGGGGCAGTACAAGATATTAAACTCTGCAGGGGGCCCAAACTTTTGCAGACGCCATTTTTTTGTTTTCTGTTATTTTCGAAAGTGTAAATGATGGAAATAAAATCTAACTTTTGTTGACATATTATAAAGAATGTCTAATCTGTAATTTGATGCCTTTTGGAGATTTTTCCATCTTTCCTTGGCTTCTTTATGCACATTAATACACATTTTTAGCTGGGTGCCCAAACTTTCGATCCCCACTGTATATATGTGATTTTGCATTTCCGGGTAGGGAGCGTGTAAAAGCTGCGTGTGCGCCCTACCCACGCCGTCAGTCGCGGCCGCCGCTGTCAATCACCGAGTCCCAGCCGGTGATTACTCGCTGCCGCCCGGTGAATGCTGAGCAGCAATAAACAATACAGATCTCTCCCCTGTCAGCTCCTGCACCCTGCTTTGTATGTCTCTGTATAGCACAGCCATACAAAGCAGTGTGCTTACAGTGAAGCAGAAAACACAGCACATGGTTATAAACAGCACAACAGTTAACCCTTTGATCGCCCCAGATGTTAACCCTTCCTGCCCAGTGCCTTTAGCTACAGTGTCAGTGCTTTTTATTAGCACTGATCACTGTATTGGTGTCACTGGGGATGTCAGTGACACCAAGTCAGTTCCCCTCCCCCCATTGTCAGAATGTCCGCTGCAGTCCCGCTATAAGTCGCTGATTGCCGCCATTACTAGTAAACATGAAAAAAAAAAATCCCAGTATATATACCGCCACTTACAAACACTATAATTTCACAAAAACCAATTAATTTACATGTATTGGTATTTTTTTTAGCAAAGACACAGAAGCAGAATACATTTTGGCCTAAATTTGATTTTTAAAGTTTTATTACTGGACATGTTTTATAGCAAAAAGTCTAAAATATTTTTTTTTTTTCTAAAAATTGTCGGTCTTTTTTTATTTATGGCGCAAAAAATTAGAAAAACGCAAAGGCCATGAAATACCACCGAAAGAAAGCTCTTATTGTGGGAAAAAAAGCATGCAAATTTCATTTGGGTGCAGCGTTGCATGAGACCGCGCAATTGTCAGTTTAAGTAAGGAAGCGCCTGATCGCAAAATAATGGCCTGGTCAGAAGGGGGGGAATCTCTCCGGAGGGAAAGTAGTTGTTACATTTGTATCTATTGTTACAATGATGTATGTGTTTCCTAATGCTCCTCGGCTCCATCTAGTGAATGTACGGATATGCAAATGTTTATTTTTTTTTTAATAAATAGATTTCTAAGCAACTGCAGTTAGCATGAAGTTCAGGTCTATGGTGACGCAGAGGCTTGCCCCAAAACTGTTTGCTCTTTCCAGACTAAATGGCTTAATTTGGAAGGATCTGGAATCTTGTAATGTTTTTTTTTTTTGGGGGGGGGGGGGTTTCGGGGGGGGACACTGTTTTCCTTTTTTGTTTTTTTTGCATGGGGTACACCTTAAAATCCATACCAGACCCTCATTAAGGATAGGGTCTGATATGGATCGTCAGGGTGCACCCCTCAATTTTTTTTTTTTAGTTTTTTGCAGCGTCCAGCCCCTTCCCCCCCCCCCCCCCCCCCCCATGTCCTTTGTTTGCCTATCTCTTTCGAAGGGACTTTATCAGACGGAATCTGAAGCAGCTGTGTATGGCAGCCATCAGTTTCTAGCTTTCATTTTCAATGCTGAGGCTCCAATCACATGTGTGCGTCTTCAAAGTTGTGTGATTTCCATTGCGACACTCCATAGCAACTGTGAAGCAATTCGGAAGACGTGCGACTTTGGCTGTTGACTGTTGCACAACTGTCACATCCATAACATTAAGATGCAACTTTTGAGGGTTTACATAGCAGTCCATGCCACTCAAGTCACATAAAAGTCAGGGCCAAAGTAGCACAGGAACCTTTTTTAAAGTCGCTGCGACTTTAGGTCGCACATATGTGAACGGTTGTCATTAGAAAATATGGGGTACAAAATTGTCATACAACTTTAGACCCTGCATTCACTATATCTACTCTCCCTGGACCCCGCATTCACTATATCTACTCTCCCTGGACCCCGCATTCACTATATCCAGTCTCCCCGGACCCTGCATTCACTATATCCGCTCTCCCCAGACCCTGCATTCACTATATCCGCTCTCCCCGGAACACCCTGCATTCACTATTATCCAGTCTCCCCGGACCCTGCATTCACTATATCTGCTCTCCCCAGACCCGCATTGACTATATCCGCTCTTCCCGGACCCTGCATTCACTATAGCCGCTCTCCCCGGACCCCGCATTCACTATATCTGGTCTCCCCGGACCCCGCATTCACTATATCCGCTCTCCCCGAACCTGCATTCACTATATCACTCTCATGTCTCCCCGGACCTGCATTCACTATATCGCTCTCCCCGGACCCTGCATTCACTATATCCGCTCTCCCCAGACCCTGCACTCACTATATCCGGTCTCCCCGGACCCTGCATTCACTATATCCGCTCTCCCCGGACCCTGCATCCACTATATCCCGGTCTCCCCGGACCCCGCATTCACTATATCCGCTCTCCCCCGGACCCCGCATTCACTATATCCGCTCTCCCCCGGACCCTGCATTCACTATATCTGCTCTCCCGGACCCTGCATTCACTATATCTGGTCTCCCCGGACCCTGCATTCACTATATCCGCTCTCCCCGGACCCTGCATTCACTATAGCGACCGCTCTCCCCGGACCCCGCATTCACTATATCTGGTCTCCCCGGACCCCGCATTCACTATATCCGCTCTCCCCGGACCCTGCATTCACTATATCCACTCTCCCGGACCCTGCATTCACTATATCCGCTCTCCCCGGACCCTGCATTCACACTATATCCGCTCTCCCCAGACCCTGCACTCACTTATATCCGGTCTCCCCGGACCCTGCATTCACTATATCCGCTCTCCCCGGACCCCACATTCACTATATCCGCTCTCCCTGGACCCTGCATTCACTATATCCGCTCTCCCCGGACCCTGCATTCACTATATCCACTCTCCCCGGACCCTGCATTCACTATATCCCTCTCTCCCCGGACCCTGCATTCACTATATCCACTCTCCCCGGACCCTGCATTCATTATATCCTTAGGTTCCACAGTGAGTATAACAAGCATGCTTTGCTTTACTACAGTTACAATGGAATTCAATGGGATCGGAAGGGCCCTGATCCTGGGAGCTTACAATCTAATAGACAGTGATACGTGATGTCAGACACACTAAAGAACAGATTCGAGTTTTCTATACACTGGAAGATGCTCCTCGGGATTCTGTGTATGAATATTGCAGAGTACACTCCTTCTCCTGAGGATCGGTCTGCGTTCGCTATCTGCGGTTTATTCCCGGACTAAAAGCTTTCCTATTGGCTCGCTAAATGGAAAGCGCGTTATTGGAAATCAATACTAAATAATCAAAACTACACGTCTTCATCTAATGAAAGCAATGCCAGAGATCAATATTATAGCAGATATGGGGAGATCATGCTTTTAGTCACGCTCCAATTGTACTCTCAGCAGCGTTTATGAAGTCTGACGCGCTTTATAGGATCAGAAGCAGTCTGCGCCATCTCAATACATACTGAGTGCTGCGTGTTGTGTGGCTGATTAACCCCTTCATGACGAAGGTAAAACAAATCCTAATTTCTTGAACACGGCTCGCAATGTTGACACCAGACAAGACATGCTGAACAAAAAAAACACGTGTTTAGTTTCCTTATTTAAATAAATTTTGTTTCCTTAAATGTGGTTAATTCATTTTCGGAATTCGTTTTTTTTTATTTTCGAATTTGATTTTATTCTATTCTAATTCAATTCAACCAAATTAGAATTTGAATTGGCATTTGAATTCTAAATTCGAATTTTGGAAGATGGTTATATTCTTTATGTTTTATTCTATTCTATTTTTTTTTCTATTTTTGTTCTATTCTCTTATCTTTTCTCTTATTTTCTATTATAGTATTTATATTTATATGATTTATATGCTATTATTTTCTATTATTATTATTATAATACAGGATTTATATGCTATTATTTTCTATTATTATTATTATAATACAGGATTTATATGCTATATTTTCTATTATTATTAATTATTATTATTAATTATTATTAATACAGGATTTATATTGCTATTATTTTCTATTATTATTAATAATACAGGATTTATATGCTATTATTCTAATAATATTATTATTAATTAATACAGGATTTTATATGCTATTATTTTTACTATTATTATTATTATAATACAAAATTTATATGCTATTTTTTATTTCTATTATATTACAGGATTTATATGCTATTATTTATTATTATTATTATTATTATTATAATACAGGATTTATATGCTAATTTTTTCTATTATTATACAGGATTTTATGCTATTATTTTCTATTATTGTTATTATTATTATTATAATACAGGATTTATATGCTATTATTTTCTATTATTATTATTATAATACAGGATTTATATGCTATTATTTTTCTATTATTATTATTATTATTATTATAATACAGGATTTATATGCTATTATTTTTATTATTATTATAATAATACAGAATTTATATGCTATTATTTTCTATTATTATTATTATAATACAGGATTTATATGCTATTATCTATTATTTTGATTATTATTATGGGGGGATTATAATACAGGATTTATATGCTATTATTTTCTATTATTATTATTAAAATACAGGATTTATATGCTATTAACAAACATTATTTTATTATTATTTATTATTAAAATACAGGATTTATATGCTATTATTTTATTATTATTATTATTATTATTTATACAGGATTTATATGCTATTATTTTCTATTATTATTTATAATACTGGGATTTATATGCTATTATTTTCTATTATTATTATAATACAGGATTTATATGCTATTATTTTCTATTATTATTATTATAATACAGGATTTATATGCTATTATTTTCTATAGTTTTTTTATTAATACAGGATTTATTTGCTATTATTTTTCTATTACGGGATTTATTATAATACAGGATTTATTGCTATTATTTTCTATTTATTATTATATAATACAGGATTTATATGTATTATTATTTTATGCTATTATTATTATAATACAGGATTTATATGCTATTATTTTTTATAATTATTATAATACAGGATTTATATTTTATTATTTTATTATTATTATTATTAATCTTAGGATTATATGCTATTTATTTCTATTATTATTATAATACAGGATTTATATGCGGTTTATTATTTTCTATGATTTTTTATAATACAGGATTTATATCTATTATTATTTTCTATTTTAATATTATTATAATACAGGATTTATTATGCTATTATTTTCTATTATTATTATAATACAGGATTTATATGCTATTATGTTTTTTTATAATTTATTATTATTATTATAAATACAGGATTTATATGCTATTATTTTCTATTATTATTATAGATTTATTTTTATTTATATGCTATTATATTCTATTATTATTATAATACAGGATTTATATGCTATTATTTTCTATTATTAATTATTATTATTATTATTATAATACAGGATTTATATGCTATTATTTTCTATTATTATTATTAATTACAGGATTTATATGCTATTATATTCTATTATTATTATTTATTATTATAATACAGGATTTATATGCTATTTATTTTCTACTATT